ATGTACTTCAGAAGACAGTTCTCCCATTCCATACTCCAGCTCCTCCAGTTCTAGGGAGATCTGCCCACCTTTTTCCTTCCCCAACATCCAGACCAGAAAAGGCAGTCAGATTTAGAGAAGGAAATCAGAGGTGGGTACTTTAGTTTTTGACATCTTAGATTGAGAAAGGAAGAAAAGGGGAAGAGAAATCAAGCTATGCCTCCAAAACTAAGAACACAAGAATAATAAGAAGAACAAATAAAGCATTTGATACAGAAAGAAAACAAAGCAATCTATGAGGACCAGTGCTATCAGCTTCTTTAAATTACTGAGTGGAGAGTGAGAGGTAGTTGTACCACAAGCAAGTGGTGAAGTGAAGATACAAACATAGCGGGGATTCCTGAAGAGTCATTCTCTAAGACAAGACTTGGCCCCGATGGCTTCTTACTAGCAGTATTTTCTTTTTGAGTCATGACTTTGCTTTTATAGAAATAGTCACAGCCAAAATATTTTAAAAGTTAACCATTTGAAGAAGAACAAAAACTTTCCTTTATCCACTCTATCTCCTCATCTTAGGGAACTTTTAAAAGTTAAAACTTCAGCAAGTTGGATGTTTTTCTCCTTTTTTTTTTCTTTAATTGAGCTAAAATATATACAGAGAAAAGTACACATTTCATAATGTACAATGGGAAGAATTGTCGAAAATTAACACCCCCTGGTAACTAGCACCCAGTTTAAGAAACAATGTCACCAGCATCCCTCTTGCCCCTTTCCAGTAAATAATTCAAAGCCACCCATTATTTTGACCTCTACTGGCATTATCTGATTTTGTCCTTCAAAAACAATTGGATTATACTGTGTGTACTGTTTTATCTGTCTTGCTTGTGAGCTGCACTCACATTTTCGTGTGTGGTTATAGGTCATTCATCTTTATTGTTGTGTTGCATTCTATTATGTGCATATATCACATTAAAATTGCTCCAATTTATTGTTTGTGGGCATTTGTGTCCACAACTAGAAATTGTGGGCATTTCTAGTTTTGGCTTTTACAAATAGTGCTACCGTAAACACTCCAGCACATGTCATTCAGGGTACATTTTATTCCAGCCTTTAAAATTAAGGAGAATACCATTGGTGAAAAGGAGAAAAATATTGTATTAGAATCTAAATGATGGATACTTAAAATATCAGCCTTATGATTGCATATTTGAATATAATTATGAAAATATGCTTCTGAAATTAAACTCTAAAAACTATAATCCTATAATGATAAAATAAGAATTCTACTGAAAAGGAAAAGTTAACATCTACTTTTAAAACAGCAAGTACAAAAGGATAAATGTTTGAGGTGATGGATACCTCATTCTCCATGATGTGATTATTACACATCACATGCCTGTTTCAAAATATCTCATATATCCCATAAATATATATACCTACTATGTACCCAGAACAATTAAAAATAAACATTTTTTTAAGTAAAATACTTTTTCTTTAAAAATAAAAATAACAGGCCGGGCGCGGTGGCTCAAGCCTGTAATCCCAGCACTTTGGGAGGTCGAGATGGGCGGATCACGAGGTCAGGAGATCGAGACCATCCTGGCTAACACGGTGAAACCCCGTCTCTACTAAAAAATACAAAAAACTAGCCGGGCGAGGTGGCGGGCGCCTGTAGTCCCAGCTACTCAGGAGGCTGAGGCAGGAGAATGGCGTGAACCCGGGAGGCGGAGCTTGCAGTGAGCTGAGATCCGGCCACTGCACTCCAGCCTGAGCGGCAGAGCGAGACTCCGTCTCAAAAAAAAAATAAATAAATAAAATAAAATAAAATAAAATAAAATAAAAATAACAAATGCATGTGCCAAAGTAATACAAAGAAGCTAGTAGTACAGGTCTTTTTCTTTTTTTCACTTCACATACTTATTTATTTCCATTAAAAAATAGAACTACCAAGAACAATTAAAAATAAAACTTTTTTAAATGAATAAAATTCTTTTTCTTTAAAAAATAAAAATAAAATAACAAGTGCAAGTGCCAAAGTAATACAAAGAAGCTAATAGCACAAGTCTTTTTCCTTTTTTAACTTCACATACTTATTTATTTCCATTAACAAACAGAACTACCAAATCCACAGCCAATACCCTTTGAAAACCACCACAAGAAAAGGATGCCCTCTCTCACCACTCCTATTCAAAATAGTATTGGAAGTTCTGGCCAGGGCAATCAGGCAAGAGAAAGAAATAAAGGGTATTCAAACAGGAAGAGAGGAAGTCAAATTGTCTCTCTTTGCAGGTAACATAATTGTATATTTAGAAAACCCAATTGTCTCAGCCCAAAATCTCCTTAAGCTGATAAGCAACTTCAGCAAAGTCTCAGGATACAAAATCAATGTGCAAAAATCAGAAATTTCCCACACACCAATAATAGACAACAGAGAGCCAAATCATGAGCAAACTTCCATTCACAATTGCTACAAAGAGAATAAAATACCTAGGTATAGAACTTACAAGGGATGTGAAGGACCTCTTCAAGGAGAACTACAAAACACTGCTCAAGGAAATAAGAGAGGACACAAACAAATGAGAAAACATTCCATGCTCATGGATAGGAAGAATCAATATTGAGAAAATGGCCATCCAGCCCAAAGTAATTTATAGATTCAATGCTATCTCCATCAAGCTACCATTGACTGTCTTCACAGACTTAGAAAAAACTACTTTAAATTTCATACGAAACCAAAAAAGAGCCCATATAGCCAAGACAATCCTAAGCAAAAAGAACAAAACTGGAGGCATCATACTACCTGACTTCAAACTATACTTCAAGGCTACAGTAGCCAAAACAGCATGGTACTGATACCAAAACAGATATACAGACGAATAGAACAGAACAGAGTCCTCAGAAATAACACCACACATCTACAACCATCTGATCTTTGACAAACCTACAAAAACAAGCAATGGGGAAAGGATTCCATCTTTAATAAATGGTGCTTGGAAAACTGGCTAGCCATATGCAGAAAACTGAAACTGGACCCCTTCCTTACACCTTATACAAAAATTAACTCAAGATGGGTTAAAGACTTAAACATAAGACCTAAAACCATAAAAACCCTAGAAGAAAACCTAGGCAATACCATTCAGGACATCGGCATGGGCAAAGACTTCATGACTAAAACACCAAAAGCAATGGCAACAAAAGCCAAAATTGACAAATGGGATCTAATTAAACTAAAGAGCTTCTGCACAGCAAAACAAACTATCATCAGAGTGAACAGGCAACCTACAGAATGGGAGAAAATTGTTGCAAACTATCCATCTGACAAAGGGCTAATATCCAGAATCTACAAGGAACTTTAAAAAATTTACAAGAAAAAAACAACCCCATCAAAAAGAGGGCAAAGGATATGAACAGACACTTCTCAAAAGAAGACATTTATGCGGCCAAAAAGTACACGAAAAAAATCTCATCATCACTGGTCATTAGAGAAATGCAAATCAAAACCACAGTAAGATACCATCTCACACCAGTTAGAATGGTGATCATTAAAAAGTCAGGAAACAACAGATGATGGAGAGGATGTGGAGAAATAAGAATGCTTTTACACTGTTGGTGGGAGTGTAAATTAGTTCAACCATTGTGGAAGACAGTGTGGCAATTCCTCAAGGATCTAGAACCAGAAATACCATTTGACCCAGCAATCCCATTACTGGATATATACCCAAAGGATTATAAATCATTCTACTATATGCACACGTATGTTTATTGCAGCACTATTCACAACAGCAAAGACTTGGAACCAACCCAAATGCCCATCAATGATAGACTGGATAAAGAAAATGTGGCACATATATACCATGGAATACTAAGCAGCCATAAAAAAAGGATGCGTTCATGTCCTTTGCAGGGACATGGATGAAGCTGGAAACCATTATTCTCAGTAAACTAACACAGGAACAGAAAACCAAACACCACATATTCTCACTCATAAGTGGGAGTCGAACAATAAGAAGACAGGGACACAGGGAGGGGAACATCACACACTGGGGCTTGTCGGGGGGTGGGGAGGCTAGGGGAGGGATAGCATTAGGAGAAATACCTAACATAGATGACAGGTTCTTGGGTGTAGCAAACCACTATGGCGCGTGTATACCTATGTAACAAACCCACATGCTCTGCACATGTATCCCAGAATTTAAAGTATAATAAAAAAGAAAAAAAAATAGAACTACTATATGATTCAGCATCATCTGGATATATATCCAAAGGAAATGAAATCCGTAAGTCAAAGAGACAGTTGCACTCCCATGTTCATTGTAGCACTATGTATGGAATCAACCAATGAGTCCATCAACAGACGAAAACGAAAATATGGTATATTTACAAAATGGAATACTATTCAGCCTCAAAAGAGAAGGAAATTTTGTCATTTGCAAAAACACGTATGAACCTGGATGATATTAGTTTAAGTGAAATAAGCCAGGCACAGGAAGACAAATACCACATCATCTCACTTATGTGTGGAATCTAAAAATGTTGGATTCAGACACAAAGAGGAGAATTGTGATTACTAGGAGCTGGCAGACAGGGGAGGGGGTTGGGGAGATGTCAGTCAAAAGGTACAAAATTTCAGTTAGGAGGAATAAGTTCAAGAGATCCATTGTATAATACGGTGACTATAGTTAATAAAAGTATATACTTGAAAGTTGCTGAGTAGATTTTAAGCATTTTCACAGCAGGCCAAATTTTTATGAGACTCTTAAACATGCACATTATGGCCAGTGGAGCTTAGCTCTTCACAAATGTGAGGTGCTATCATTAGGAATAAATTTTTGTTTATAAATCCCCTTATATTTGGTCCCCAAAACACTCATTTATTCCCACCAGGAACAAGCACTCAAACCACAACAAAGTATGATATTCAGAAGATTTACTAGCTGAAGAAAGTCAGTCAGTCCAAGAAATGTGTATGACACCTTACCTCTGTCTTCTCCTGGGTTCAGATCCTTAACTCGCTAATTCACTATAATGGGAGTTAGCAACCCATGGCCCACAGGACAAATCTAGACCACAGTCTGCTTTCATAGAGCCTACAAGCGAAGAATGGCTTCCCATTTTTAAGTCACTGAAAAAAATCAGACAAAGATTTTTATACTATATAAATTATATAAAATTATGTTTTATAAAATTATATATAAATTATTTAAAATAAAAATCAGTGGCCTTAAATAAAGTTTTCTTGGAAGAGAGCCACACTTACTCACTCACTCCTTGTCTATAGCTGTTTTTTGCTACAACGGTCAAGTATTCTGACAGAAACCATATGACCTGCAAAACCGAGAATAGTTCTCTCTGACCCTTTAGAGAAAACGTTTGCCAACTCCTGCACTGCATAAAGTTTGGCTCTTCCCATCCTACGGTCTGAGAGCTTCATATGTCATAATGTACTCGGTATAATTCAAATGCAATATCATTAAAAAGGACAAAAGCAAACATTTATACTGGATTTTGTGGGACAAACCCTATTTGAAATGTTCCACCAGCTGTCTATATGTAATATTCTAATGGTTGGGTAACGCCAATACTTACAAGCAACATCTCCAAATTTCCTCTTTCATCTAGAAGAGACAAAAATTCTTGTTCAGAGAACACATGCCTTGATTTGGGGCTAAGAAACACGCTCACTGAGCCTTTGGTGTTCCTTATACTTGGATTTAACCTGAAGGTAAAAGTCTGACAGAAACAAGTAACCAGAAAAGCACAAACATTGAAACACTCTCGGAAAATCTCAGCCAATTACATGTTTCTTTTAGATTGGTAGAAATGATTCAGCTGCTCCAGTAACAATTTCTTTTGCCATGGGAAAGAAATCTACTCCACCTAACTGCGAATGTTTTTAAACTAAATTTCCTTCTCAAAGGGTTACCACATCTACTGTTACAAACATAACTCATTGTAAACTGTTTTTAAATCTTTTTAAATTTATTGGAGGTGGGGGGCAGGTAGGGAGGTTAGTCTAGAATGTAGAAAAGCTACATTCTAGCTAAAGAGGTTAGTCTCACCTAGCCTTTCAGTTGGTCTAGAATGTAAAATGGCAGCCATAATGACAAGTTGCATTGGATCTCAATAGAGACCTAAGTGCTTTGCAAAACAAGAATGCCATTTCCAAAGCAGCATCCTGAAATGTTTAGATGTTGATGATGGAAACCACTCGCATCCTCCCCAGCGAGTTTCTCAGAAGGGGCAGCTGGAGAGGGGGAAGGGGCAGCTGGAGGAGGGGAAGAGGGGACAGCTGGAGGAGGGGAAGGGGCAGCTGGAGGAGGGGAAGGGGCAGCTGGAGGAGGGGAAGGGGCAGCTGGAGGAGGGGAAGAGGGGGCAGCTGGAGGAGGGGAAGGGGCAGCTGGAGGATGGGAAGGGGGCAGCTGGAAGATGGGAAGGGGGACGGGTGGAGGAGGGGAAGGGAGGGCAGCTGGAGGAGGAGGGGGTCAGCTGGAGGAGGGGAAGGAGGGAGCTGGAGGATGGGAAGGGGGGTAGGTGGAGAAGGGAAAGGGAGGGCAGCTGGAGGAGGAGGAGGGGGCAGCTGGAGGAGGGGAAGGGGCAGCTGGAGGAGGGGAAGGGGCAGCTGGAGGAGGGAAAGGGCAGCTGGAGGAGGAGAAGGGGCAGCTGGAGGAGGGGAAGGAGCAGCTGGAGGAGGGAAAGGGCAGCTGGAGGAGGGGAGGGGGGAGCTGGAGGATGGGAAGGGGGGTGGGTGGAGGAGGGGAAGGGGGGCAGCTGGAGGAGGGGAAGGGGCAGCTGGAGGAGGAGAAGGGGCAGCTGGAGAAGGGGTAGGGCCAACCAACTGGAGGAGTTCATTATCAGATTATGTTTTAAAGGAAATAAACCTACTACCTTTTCTCAGATATTTAAAATAACTACCATAGGAAATGGTGAAATAGGGGAGGACATTAGACTCAAGAGGGAATAGCTTATTATAGTCTCAGATTTCTCTAACTCATCAGCCACAAAGTATACTCTGAAGAGGCTCCATTCATTACGCAGGATCCATGTGATACATGACAAGTAAAAGGTGGGCTTCAATTCCCAAGGGGCCTGCACGCTTATTAGTGAGACATGGCAGAACTTCATTCTAATAGGCATTTCTAAATGAAACTACTATGGAAAACATGAGAGAAAAAAAAAATCATACCCTGAAATCATACTAGCAGTAGGAGGAGACTCAAACGTACTTTTCCTACAGGGTTCTCAGTTGCTTTTGCTACATGAGGCAAACAGCTCTGCTCCATAGATTATAGCTTCTGTGGATTGGAGAATGAAGCAGAAATTACTGTGTTTTTCTCAGTTGCAGAAAAGGTAACTGAAATAGACAAGTTCTGCACCTAAGACTGAGCCTACAGACTCTGAGCGCCAGGAAGACTGCATCGGTAGGCAAGGATCAGACAGACAGCCATGGTGTGGATGGAGCACTAGAGGAGCTGGGAGACACAGGAAACAGCACGGTAGTAGAGAGAGTGAGACTGACAAGCCTTCTGTGAAAATACATCCACAGAATTGGCCAAGGACTTCTCATAGAGGGTTCTAACATCCATGTTTTGTTGTGGCCAAGTTTCCAAGAGGAAAGTTTAAGGAACAGAGTGTTTTGTTGTTGTTGTTTGTTTGTTTGTTTGTTTGTTTGTTTTTTTGAGACGAGTCTCGCTGTGTCTCCCAGGCTGGAGTGCAGTGGCGTGATCTCGGCTCACTGCAAGCTCCGCCTCCCGGGTTCACGCCATTCTCCCGCCTCAGCCTCCCAAGTAGCTGAGACTACAGGCGCCCGCCACCACGCCCGGCTAGTTTTTTGTATTTTTAGTAGAGACGGGGTTTCACCATGTTAGCCAAGATAGTCTCGATCTCCTGACCTCGTGATCCACCCGCCTCGGCCTCCCAAAGTGCTGGGATTACAGGCTTGAGCCACCGCGCCCGGCCTTGTTTTTTTTTTAATGTGTGATTAGACGTCTCAAGGGAACACCTCTTCCCAACATAACTATGCTCTCATTGTACCAACCACAGACTTGTCCAGATGAGCTCTCAGCCTCTCACCTAGTTTTCCTCATTGTCAAGAGCACTCACTTAAGTGAGAGTTTCCCAGGGATTATGGTCTGTGGTCTTGAAAAAAACGCCCAAGGAACACCCTGGATAGAAACAGACAATTTGGGCCCATTAGACTCTTCTGGCTCAGGAGAATGGCACGCTGACCATTCCACACACTCTCTACCTTCTCCCCTCAACCTAGGTCACATGCAGACAAGCTTCCCTCATCTGTACATACCACAGACTTAACTTTCACCACTGAGTAGGGGAGGATTTCTCAATGCACCATTGCCCTTTGGCAATTACTTGTTGAAATATGTATTTCTGGGCCGGCATGTACCTTAGGGTTCATGCACTTAGTGATTCTTTCTGTTTTATAAAGCTAATTGCCTCTGTAGCAATGTCGACACCCTTAGGTGCCACGACAGTCTGTGTTTTTGGAAATGTGAGCACTCATTCAAACTGACTTCAGAGCTATAATTTATGGAACAGACTGAGTCACTGATCTCAGTTGGCTGCCTTTGTCCTGGTGCACTTCCTTCTTTTCTAAAGGGAATTTTCTTTAAAGAAGAAAAAATCACTTTTATATTACTTGCTGTAGACCGTTTTTGAAAGGGAGTTTTCTTGGAAAATGATATAAATCCAATGGTGAAGTTCTCATAGAGCAAAAAGTCTGCTCTTAGCTACATGTTATGAACATTTACAAAGAGCCTAGAGAAAATCTTATATAGTGGAAATTGTTTTTAAGATATTTTAATAGAAAAATATTATCTCTTAATAAAGTTGATTTAGGGGTCTGCCACTACCTAGTACTAGCCATTTAACCTCTCTGGGCCTTACTAGCCAACAATTACAAAATAAATTAGTTGGATAACATAATTGTATTTTATCATGCTGAGAATAAATATAAAATGAAAAATGTTTGTTTGTTTGTTTTCTGAGACAGAGTCTCGCTCTATTGCCCAGGCTGGAGTGCAGTGGCACAATCTTGGCTCACTGCAATCTCCACCTCCCAGGTTCAAGCGATTCTCCTGCCTCAGCCTCCCAATTAGCTGGGATGACAGGCATGTGCACCACCATGCCCAACTAATTTTTCAATTTTTGGTAGAGATGGGGTTCCACCATATTGGCCAGGCTGGTCTCGAACTCCTGACCTCAGGTGATCCATCTGCCTCAGCCTCCCAAAGTACTGGGATTACAAGTGTGAGCCACTGTGCCTGGCCGAAAACTGTTTTTAATACTACAATTAAATATGTATTCTAGTAAGATTTTTAAAATCCTGATTTACAAACCTACATAATAGGAGGTAAATACAAATGTTATATGTCAATTTATATAGGAAGAATCCTTTTCATAGCCAGTTGATGCAGGAATCTCTCAAAATGTGATCCAATTCACAAAATTGATCCAATTCACCAAAACTTACGAATGTAACCACTCTGGATCCCTCAAAGTGCTTGAATATGATGCCTTTGATGTATACATTGATCAATACATTACAATCTATCAGATATATTGATGTCCTGAACATTTTCTAGACATCTAATTTAATCATCAGTAACCTATAATTTACAGATAAACTGGGGGTCGACTGGATGACTGCTGTTTAAGGTCACACAGGGAGTGAGCTGGTGCCAAGGTTTGAATCCCACCTGAGGCTGACATAACCATTCACTACTAACTCTTCGTGCTTTATACAGTTTGGTTCCTGTGATTCCTTATTTTGTCACAAAAGGAGATCTGGTCAAGTATATTCATTCTTTTAAAATGGATTTTTGGTTTAAGTTCCTTCTTCCTCCATTCCCTCTCCCAACTCCTTTCAATTTTAATGTTCTTTTCCCTTTTGTGGCTGGGTTTGATTCTACACAGACTTCTTAGGAAAACTGTGTTCGTGTAAAACTGAAGAGTCCAAGAGCTTCCTCACTGGAATAAGCAGGTCTCATGTGAGGGTGGGGAGCTCTTGAGGAGGGGAAGTGACTCACTTCAGGAAGTCCTGAGGAGGGATTTTCTTACATACATGTGCAAGTTTTTATGTATCTGCATACTTTACTCTCTTTAGTTAATGTAAAATGTTACAACTGCTGTTTTCTTTTCTAAAGGAAGAGTTTCACCTGCATTCTATCTCGCTAACTAAACACATGCAATCACCAGATCTCTTGTCGTTCTACAGAAGCAACTAATCAAAATGGTGCCTTCCAAATTGTTGTCTTCCCAGTTACGTCTATAAGCAAATTGAGACCTGCCAAATATCAGTCTCAAAAATCCATATTTTTCCTGCATGCGTAACTGCTGCACTGATACTGTGTCTTGAGAGCAAATGGTATTCAGTGCCAAAGCCTTAGGAAGGTCATTTTTTTTTCTCATTCTCATGTTTTCTTTCTAACCTACTACTCACAGAGTCACAGGAACTTCTGAGAGCCTTCTATTTTGGACCTATATTTCAGGGGAAAAAATTGGCAGACTGTCACCTATTTAAATGGCTACTAATTCCTTTAAATTGATTGTTTTTTCCCATTCATTCCTGATTTCTGATTGAGCAATATGTTGAAATTTCAAAAGTTGGCATGCTGGTAGTTTCCTTATGTTCCACACATTTTCGAGCACATTGAAAGTGACTGTTCCCTGTTTCCAGAGGATGAGGACAGTGGTACTATGTTCCTTCATCAGCTTGCACAGTCAGCCCGATCGTCCTCAGACGGGTTGTTCACACTGTGGCAGATTGTCTTGACTGCACATTCTTCTCTTGGCTCTGAAGTCTTCCGCTTAAACAAGTTATTTCGTTGACATAAACAGGATCTTCTTACCTTGGCCCAACACTATCTGGAAGAAAAACCTTTTTAGGATTTGTCTTTCTCTGCCACAGACAAAGTGTGACCCCAGAAGCTTGAAATGGGCACCATTTTGTAAAGCCAGGCCTCCGCATTACTCCGAAATTCATGATACCTTGGGAACCAGGTGTGCAGTCAAAAATAACAGCTTTTATTTCTGTAACTTTTATTTCTGTAGCTCTTATTTCTGTTCACTTAGAGTGAACAAAACTCATTTACATACATTATTTCATTGATTCTAACAATAATCCTGTGAGGTAAGCAGGACAGAAACTTATTGCTATTTTTCAAATAAGGAAACCAAATTCAAATAAATTGTTATTATTCATAAAATGATAGTAACCAACACCATATAGGGTGTTTGGTGCACAAAGCGCTTTCCTGGGCACGAACTCAATTGTACTGACAGCAACACCGCAAGGAAGTCAGACAAATTATCCTCCTGTTTCAGCTGAAGAAGCAGATGAATAAAGGGATTCCTTATTAGGATTTCTGCTCACAAATGTTTCTACCAAGCTCTTTGCAGAACACACCCTCTCAGGAGCTGCCCCTCCTGGTGGGCAGCTTCAGGGAGTGCTTGCTGCAACCCGTTCTGCTTGCTAGCTCTGACCCCACCCTTCCTCCCACTCACTCCCAAACCCACCGTGAGCCTCAACGCAGCTGTGGAGAACAACTCAATTCGATATATTTTTATTGATAATTTGAATAAAGGTAACATAAATAACATGACTTAAATTTTGGAAAATAGACAAAGAATAAAAAAACCAACAAGTCCCATGACCTCAATCTCTGTATTAGGCCAAGTTTCCTCTAGCTTTCTTTCCCCCATGCATCTGCTTTTCTTCTATTTGTAATCATAAAATCAATTTGTGTACATTTTAAATCTGCATTTCCACTTGACAGAGTATTCTTTTTTTTTTTTTTTTTTTTTTTTTTTTTGGAGACAGGGTCTATCTCTGTCTACCAGGCTGGAGTGCAGTGGCGCAATCTTGGCTCACTGCAACCTCCACCTCCTGGGTTCAAGTGGTTTTCCTGCCTCAGCCTCCCAGAGATCACACGCATGCACCCACCACACCCGGCTAATTTTTGTATTTTTAGTAGAGACAGAATTTCACCATGTTGGCCAGGCTGATCTTGAACTCCTGACCTCAAGTGATCTGCCCGCGTTGGCCTCCCAAAGTGCTGGGATGACAGGCAATCTTCTCATTTTCTTTTTTTTTTTTTTTTTTGAGACGGAGTCTTGCTCTGTCACCCAGGCTGGAGTGCAGTGGCCGGATCTCAGCTCACTGCAAGCTCCTCCTCTCGGGTTCACGCCATTCTCCTGCCTCAGCCTCCCGAGTAGCTGGGACTACAGGCACCC